GATCAAATGGCGGATAACGGTACTCCGTGACTTAAGTCGGTTCTTTTAGTTTCCCATAATAACTGATATCTGTGTATATATTTGTGTAATTCTTTGAATCTCTCTTCCAATTTTCATTTGAAAATGGACACTAATCTTGAAAAATTAAAAAAGTATTTTCCCGCTTTGCCTCAGAATGCGATTACAAAAATTTACCGTGCTAGATGTGCAAGATTGAGATTGTTAATGAATCATGGAATTCCTGAAGATATTCGCTGGTTGATTGAAGCAAAGGTCCAATTAACAGGTGAGTCCTCTAACTCCTTCATTTCACACATGCTTGGAATAGGTAAAAGCACTTTTGCAAAGAAACGTCGGTGCAAAACGACTGAAAGTCTGCCATCGATGTGCTAGATGGACTTGTAATACACAATGTTATTTTTTAGGAATGGTATCTATAAACCGTGAACATAAAATACAATTCATTAAGGATGGCCTAAGTAAGGAGTCTTTAGATAATCTTCTATTGACTCTTGAGACGCATCCTAGTGGAGATGTGCATTGTGTAATTCATAATTTATGGTCACTATTTCATAAAGAACATGATCGACTTAGTCTTGGGAATCTGACTAAAAAAGACCTTGTTTGCCAGTTTTTAAGAAAACTGGATGGGAAGCCTATCCCCAACCCATAAAGGGCGTTTAAGCCATTCTTGGATGTAAAACCAAGGGAAGATGTGAGCCACAATCACAACTATCTGTACATACACATATTTTTTCAAAAGTAAACAAATAAATAAATAGAGAGAGAGAGAGAGAGAGAGAGAGAGTGAGACTCTAGCTGGCCTACATATAGGTGGTATGATTGCCTTTCTAATTTCTCATCTATAAAATCCTCTCTTCCTTCCTTTCATTTCTACTCAACCCATACATTCAACAAATACAGAAGTGTGTAGAAAACGCAAGTTCCTCACGTCATCATATAAGAAATATTTGTGTTTTCGGTGGATCTAGTCCTAGGAGGTAGTCAAGTTTTGGGGGTCATCCCCGAAGCTTTAGCACAAGGGGACATCATTGGAAAAACAATTGGAGAGAAACTTCAGGTCTCCACAATATTAGCTCGAATGAATACAATGTTTAACCATGTTGATGCCTTCATTGCTTCACCAGGTGGTCTAGGCACATTGGAAGAGATCTTTCATATTTCCTCTTGGGCCCAACTGCACATTCACCATAAACCCATAGGTTTGTTAAATGTTAATGGTTATTATGATAAGTTGTTATCTTTTCTTGATCATGTTGTGGAACAGGAATTTCTAATATCTTCTGCACGACAAATTATAATCTCTGTTGCTACTGCTGAACAATTGATTGACCAACTACAATCTTTTATTCCTGTAATTGATCCTTCCATGAGTTGCATAAATTGGTCAACTAAGGAAAGCCGTAAAAAGCTTAGATTGGATTTGAGCCTTCATTTGTGAATCTTTGTGTCTTTTGGTTTTATTATTGTGTTTTGTTGTTACTTATATTTGTTTCACTGTGTTTCAGGTTTGTCAATGTTTGTTATTTCAGGTGATATCTTCTATACTGTATCTTTCTACCTTTAAACATTGAGGACAATGTCTCGTTTTAGTTGGGGGGAGAGGGTAGTGGCTAAAAAAAAAACTGTGTTTTCTATTTCATAAAGCATGTGCAAAATTGTTGTTACTATGATGGCAGAGTAAGGAGAACTTTTATGACTCTTGAGACGCATCTTAGTAACCATTCTTAACAAGGTCTATTATAATACTTCATGAAATATTCTGATTTACAAACTCTCACATTGTTATCACTTAATTTTTCTCATATACTTATTTAACATGTATTCTTAAACCTTAATTTACACACACACACTTTAACATATGATTGTGGGTTGCATATTGGATTATTACATTATTTATGTTCTTTTGTTAAAGGTAACAACTAAAGGAAAGGGATTGTATATAATTAAAAAAAAAAGGAAAAAAAAGAAAAAAAATGATAATAATAAAAATATAGATAAGTTTGGTTTCGTAGCTTTCCTAACCTAAGCAATTAAGCCCGAATGGGTGTTTTAACACCTAATACCCTAAAGTCAACTGACTTGGGAGTTATTGGCCCAACGCTTGTTACATGGGTTAAGGAGAAAAGCTTAAGGGAATCAAACATTACACTATCTACATATCAGTATCTGCGACCCGAATTACTAAGCTCGTAAGGGTGTCTTAACACCTAATGCCCTAAGACCAACTGGTCTAGGAGTCATTAGCCGAAAGCTCGTTACATGGGTTAAAGATGCATGGTGTTTTTAAATTATATGTATATATATTTAAAAGAAAAAAAGAAAAAAAAGACAAAAATAATAATTCAAACCCAAGGAAGTTAACCTTAAACATTAGAACAAAAAATTTGTTTTCTTCCAATAAAAGCCCTATAATTATGTGTTGATTTATTGAGCACAAAAGAATGGTTTATGAATATCTTGTTAAAAGGTATTGAGCAGGTATATAAATTTAACGAGAGTTTGTTTATCTGGATAGATTAATGGAAGTTAAATGAGGAATACC